AAAAGTTTTAGAAAAAAAAAAAAACCCTAATTTTTTAAAAAGGGTTTTTTCCTTTTTTTTTTTTTTTTTTTTTTTTTTTAATTTCACCACTTTTTGAATGTTTGTCACATTTTTTGAGTTTTTCACTTTTTTTTTAATTTTGTCATTTTTAAGTGTTTGTCACTTTTTTGAATTTTTTTTTTTTTACTTTTTTTTAGCATTTGTCAATTTTTTTGAATTTTTATCACTTTTTTTTTGGTGTTTTATCACTTTTTTCAGTTGTCTTTTTGAAATTTTCATCACTTTTTTAGTGACAAACATCATTTTTTAATAAAAGTGACATTGTATGTAATTTTTTAATAAAAAAAGTGATACTAAATTTTTAAAAGTGACATTGTGTCATTTTTAAAAAGAAAAAGTAACACACTTTTTTTATAAAAAAGTGACATTGTGTTAACTTTTTAATTTTATGCAGTATTTTTACTTTCAAAAAATTTTCATATGATTTTTCAAAAGGCCGTTGATTTTAAGGGTATTTTTGTAAATTGCCCTTTCTAAAAATTTCGAGCCTATAAATAAAAATATCAAGCTCTTTAATATTTTAATCTGATCCATCAAATTTCAATGGATTCCAAGCTAATATGTATAAATTTAAATTATTTATACATTTGATAAAGATAAAAAAATAATTAAATTAAGTAAAAAAATATAAAGTATAAAAATAAATAACAATAAAACATCTCATTTCACTTCTTCTTTATGAAAAATGGTTTTATTTTCAGATCAATCTGATTTCTGATTTGTTGATATTTATTTATTTGATTAATATATGTAATTTTGTTCAATTTTGCAAATGGGGCTTATTTTTAATTTATTGATGCTTATTTTTTTAATTCTGTAGATTTGATGAAAGTATATAGTTTAAATGACAAAGTTATGATTTTTTTTGTAATAAATGTTAAGGTTATTAATTTTTTAAATTAAATTTTATATTTTTTTGTTTTGTTTTGTTTTGTTTTGTTTTGTTTTTTTTTTTTTGAGGGATCTATTAACAAGTTTATATCATTTGGTCGTAATTGTAAGAAATTCATTAAAATCTATAAAATAGATTTTATTTATTTTTAAATAAAAGTTGTATCAATTATATGAAAATATTCTATTCAAATTCATAAAATCTATTAGAATCTATAAATCTTGAAATTCATTAAATTTTGAGTTCAAGACACCCTCCTTGAAATAACATCTCTCTCATAGTCATGTTACCATTTTCTCCACCCAATCAATTCCTAAAATAGATGTAATTAACCTTTTCAATTAAATCTTTAAAACAAAAAAAAAAATCCTTGAAAACCCACAAAAATAAAATTCCAAAAGCCCATATGTCCAAAAAAATAACTGCAAACAATCAGGAAAAATCGTAATCCTTAATTCACCATACACACCCGAGTGACAATAAAATATAGGTCACATGTTAGGTAACATAAGGAACAAATAATGTATAACAATCACAATAGTAGTTCATTCGAATCTTCTGCAACCTGTTTTCACCGTAACATTACAACAAGGTGGTAATTCGACATTCTTATCACGTTTCACGATCACATGTGTAGGTCCTATGGTCATATTAGCATAGATCATGGCCGCTTCAACAAAAACATTGTGTCACATTTAGGGTTAAAACTACAAAAAGGAATGGCAATTGTTTTGAGGATCACGTACGTCTCAACATTTCAGCATGTGTTGGTCATAATTAACAATCAGCAATTCAATGGAGGAGTCACGAACACCTTAAGAATGAAAATTGTAATAAATGGCAGTGGTTTAGGAATAACAACAGAGGTTAATTTAGAGTCATTTATTTGAAGAATGAAAATTGTGATATTTTGAATATCACGTTTGTTGTCTTTTCCATAAAAAATAAATAAAAAATCAAAGGCCTAATTTTTAAAAATACTAAAGCTACCTGTTTCGCGCGGGTTAAGTCCCTAACAATTAAAAAGGGTCAGACGATTGTGTAAGGGACGAAATCTCTTGAGACAAAGTTTCAAAAAGGGGTGTTCTTTTATTGGCGATGAACTTTACAATTGGGAATGAAAAACAACGTGCCTCCAAAGGGCGCAAGCACACGAGTTACAGAAAGAAAGATGTTTAAATCTAAAAGCTAAGGAAATGAAAATTACATATTCTCTGTTCGAGAGTTTTGGATTCGGTCCTTTGCTTCTGCATCCTTTTTCCCTTTTATACCTCATAGACGATCTCTTTG